TTTTAATAGCCAAACCGCTAGTGATTCTGATGGGATTTGTTACGAGAAATACCAATTGAAATGGCGAACTATGTCACAGAATGATCAATGAAGTAGCATTCATTACCTGATAGAGGTTGCTTCCCTCGTTAATCGATCGAAGAAGCTCCTTTGCCGACTCCAAGGCGACCTTCAACACTGCCAGAGCTCGAACCTCTTCCATGCCCAGAGGCACCTCTCTGTCTTTCAATTCCTCAAAAAGAGGGCTCAACAGCTTCACCCTCCTCACAAGATTGCAGTACATCTTCTTGGATGTGTTTCGACACTCGGGAAACCCAGAAACCATCTTCACGATTTCAACGAGTTGGTCCACCACTTCCTTCGGTTCCTCCATTGCCACAGCTTAGGGCATCCAATTGAACCAAAAATCGAACAAGCAATCGCCTAGAAGCTCAGGAACGAACCTGAGTTCTACAAAATTCAAGACTAACGGGAGAAACCCAGATGAGAAAATCGATTATATACTCAAGATATTCTTGCTCCAAAACCCCTAATAAGAGAATGGCAAGGTCTGAACATTGAATTGAAGATAAAGGAAATAGAACAACAGAAGAAATTTTATATTTTATAAATAGAAAAAGACCATAAAATAATTTTGGAAACACTACGCGGTCTCTTCTGGCAATGCCGAGAGCTGTAGAGAGAGAAGAGGTGACAGCGATTATCCTTTCGGACGAAGTCCGACGTGACGACCTTCTGATGTTTCATCCTTCACTTGTTTGACCAAACTACCTCCGCAGCTTGACAAAATCACCCTTGTTTGTTAATGGAACTGGATTTTCTTTCGAGGGCACTTTGGAACTTGCATGCAAGAAAGCCGTGCCCCGGAGTCTCGCCGGCAGTGGGTCGGCTTAGTTCAGCTGTTAACGTACCACGGTATAAGTCTCCCTGGAACGCGACGTACCATAATTATCGTGTACTCGTAAAATAATTGTGCATTCAGAATGCCAAACGAAGGACTGACTTTGACCGGGCACTGTTAGAGTTGACCACGCCCTATCAGATCAGATTTTAGATGATGGACTGTAGACGGTGATTCGGTAAATATTTCTTACTTCTTTATAATACAACTAGAAGTGAGATGTCACCCATCAACTGAAAAACACGGTTGATAGAGATAATGTGAAAGGAGGGCCCACATCTTTGAATTGATATCAGGATTGCAGTAATTTGCCATGTCAGGTATGGCAAGGCATTTGCATGTCTGGAGGATCGGGGCCCACTAGACACGGAATCTCTATTGATCTGGACGGTGGAAAACATGTCATAGGTCAGTTGCTGTCTCGTAGAATATTGATTGAGATCGTGTCTACCTCCCTACCTAACCAATTTGTCAAGAGCGATCCAATCCATGAACTGCTTATGTGTCCAGACACGTGGCGATTCAACCTCTCGGGGGAATAACGAAACTGCCGATAAGCTGGGTACGCTGCCACATAAACAAGTGAATAAATCCTAAGCTGCTGACGTGCCCTGGGCCCACGTGAGTCACGCGGTGGAAGCCGTCTACAGTGCTGGTCAAAACTAGCGTATATGAGTCGTAAAAAGACGGGCCGGACTAAACTCGGAGCCGGCGTGAGAAAAACCATAATATTCAAATCTTGGTTGTTGCTGACTTGGAATATGAGAAGCCAATGAAAGACCGTAACATGAACGTCACGGAGTAAACAGTGAGTGGGGCCAAAATTGCTGTGGTCGGTCGCCAAAAGGAAGAGTGAGAGGATCGCATTATTATTTTGTACGACAGTAATGTGGCTAGTCTGTCGATCAATACCGTTGAACAACTTTTATGGTCAAAAAGATGGTGGGGCCATGTACGATTCTGTTTAGGTGATTGTTGAAGATTCTATTGTGACGGACAAAGATATCGACACCATTAAGATGGAATATTGTGCTGGCAATATGAGGAATGTGTGTTCGTGTGGACTGTAGAGCCAAGCCCCCACTCAAGAGTATCTGGCGTTGGTACTTGGGTTGGAAGTTGGAACATGTTGCATGCCACGTGGCACTCGCCATGATGACGTGTCTTCCTTGAACGGGTGGTTCAGAAAACACAATCATTTTGTCTAACGATAAGATCTCAAAATGATGTGGCCCACTTGAACTTTGGACTTGGGAGAAGTTGTCGACTTGGCATTCCTGATTCCACCCGGGGGCCGGGGCCAGGGATGAGTTCTGGTAAAGCCTTATAGAACATTGGGCCAGATCCATGAGCCGAAAAGCCCAGTGAGTGGAGATTCATTCTTAGTTTTTTGGTCAATGAAAATTCATCTCTTTGTCAGTTTGTCGGAACTCACAATCTGATCTCTACCGTGAAAGGGTGATTGCTTGGATGATCCGGCCATATCAGGCTTTTGGGCCTATAGATGAATGTTAACTTGTCTTAAAGCCTAACATTCAAGACCCCACAGCCCAGGCCTCGCCTTGAAATTTCCAGGGCTGATGTGGGCCTAAGCCGGGCCGGAAATTTCTGGGCTGGGCTTTAAATGATCACCCCTGAGTAAATCTATGGTTGAGCGCTAGAGCAAAAAAATTCTATAAGATGGCCATTGGCCAAGGCCGAAGCCTAGCTTGAGTGGTAATGAAGTTTTATTTGATGAAAGACATGAGAGACATGGTGGCTCGTGATCAACTAGGACTTGTTAAGGTTTTGTAGGTCTCATTATTCTTCTTATCTAACAAAACTTAAGTAATTTCAGGATATGCCCACGCTTACATTTTCCTGAAAGTGAAAACTATGCAAACACTGTTTTTTGCTTTCAAGGGATTCGGGCTCCCTTGTACCATGCAAACACCTTGAGGATTGTACCGATAAAGAGCAAACTTTTCCTTGAAATGGGAAAACAAATAAATTGGATGCAATGCAACTTATTGTGATGGCTGATGAGATCCCTGCCGTTTATAAACAGATTTTGCATCGGTGTGAAATAGGAGCTGGCGTATAGGGTAGAAGAAGAGAACTATGTGGCTGCATGGTTGATGCACAGATACACACGTTCACATGGAGGCAAAGTAAGGAATAGACACACGTCAAGGAAGTAGGAAGGATAAGAGGGTAAAGTATAGGATATTGCCAAGTATCACTTCTGTGTTTTGTCCCAATAAAACAACAGAGACCCAAATCTCGGTTCAGTAGAGCAATCAAAGGCAGAGGTCGGGAAGAAACTAAGAAACCCATGAGTCTGAATGATCTAGAGAGAGAACTGGTAGTTGTTTTGCTGTAAAAGTCAATACCACTAATTAAGTCCACCAATCTGAAAGGAACAATCCATGGATCGGTGGTGAAACCCATCCGAGCCATCACCTCATCTGCTGCATCGGTACAGTCTCATGGAGTGTTCATATCATAATACTGAATTAGTGTTGATAAGTTAAGCTGCCACCACATTCTCACCTCACCGGCCCTAGATGAAAGGAACAAGTCATATGAATTATGAAGGGGTGGTGCTGGTGCACGGTACAAGGGATCCAGGCTGATGCCTTTGCCCCTGCAACTTTCTTAAGTTGACTGATTTTCATTCTCCGTAGGAGAGATTGTTAAAGAAGAAGCCTGATTACTCACTATTTTATGTATTTGGGTGTGAATGTTACCCCTCACTTTTCCCTACAACAGCAATAAATTGGAGTTTATCAATCCAACATGCATGGTTGATGCCAAACCCATATGGATCAGCTTGTCATCAGTTGTCAAAGTTCTTTGGTGATCCTCTCTCTTGATGATGCTACTCATGATTATCGAATTGTTGGTGCCTTACAATATCTCATCCTCACTTGACCTTTAGATGCCTTAAAAGAGCACTGTGGATCATGGCTTTCTATTGCATGAATGTTTTAATACCCAATTGTTTGCCTTTTCTAATGCTGATTGGACTGCTTTCCTAGATGATAAGTAGCTCCTGGGCCCTATTCACATTTTGGTAAATTATTTACCTAGGTAAATGCACTTACCTAGGTAATTCTTTCTCAGGAAAGATTTATTCGGGTAAGTGCGTTTACCCATATTCTTTTATTTTCCATGTAAATAAGGCAATGACCATTTTATTCATAAAAGTCCATTATTATAAGGGGCATTTTTGTTTCTTTCAAGTGTTGGTAACTTCCCCCAAGGTGGGAAAGTTATTTACCCACCTAGGAGATGGGTAAGTGATATCCAGGACAATAAATTTGCCATAGTCTCCACATAAATCTGAAAAAAGAATATGGGGTTTTTGGTCAATGAGAATCAAAATCCTATTGCCCAACTTTTTCCCCTCTCAAAATCCAGAAAAAGAATGCCCCCCCTAGAGTGGTTACTATATTTAGGGGTAGGCATGAATCAAGATTCTCATGAACTATTCGAGTCTGGCTTGTGAAAAGCTTAATTTGACTTGATGTAAACTACGGGTGAGCATGGGTCGGTTTGGTTCGGTTCCATGCTAAAACCTAGAACCTACCCTGTGAAGATTGGTTCCAGGGTCTACTTGTGGAACTTGTTCTTTATTTATCCTCCCCTTCAAAAAAAAAAAAAGAAACATGTCCTTTAAAAACTTGAATTTCAATATTTAATTTATAGATTATCATAATATATTAATATATGATTCAAAATTTATTATTATAATTTAAATTTTGCAAATATTATTTTTTACATTATTTTTTATACATATTCAAATATTAAAATAAAAACAAATGTTCAAATCACTTAAGTAACACAATGGTCATGTGGGACCATGGCTTTTGTAATCATGAGTGTTTGGGTTCAAATATTCACATTCTTAAAAATATTTTGGAGTTTATTTCAAGGGAAATTTGGTTCCACCAAGGCCGGTTCATTAGGTGGGGGTCAGTTCAAAGATTTCAGAACTAGACCCTACCTTGTAATAGATTGGGTGGAGTTGGTTTGAGGTCGATTCCATTTGCTTACCCCTAGTGTAAACCAAGCTTTGAACTGAACTTGAGCCCAATATATAGGTTCGTTTGGTAATCATGTCGAGCTTAAGTCTAGTGAAGCTTTGCTCGTAATGCTCATGATCCTAATCGACACACACACACATATATATATACAGGAAGCTTGGTTCATAGTTGAGCTTGAGCTGAGCCAAGCTCAAACATATGAGCTTTTGAGTCAAGATGAATTCAAGTTCAAGTCTCTGGCTTGAGTTTGAACTTGAACCCCATATTTTTTTGATGATTCAAGCTCCAATTGTTAGATATTCAGTTCAGGTTGGCTCAAATACACACCTAATTGTATTTACCTTGGCAGCAATCTCATATCCTGCTCCTCTAGGTAACAGTCTACAGATGCTAAATCCAGCATTGAATCTAAATATAAGAGCCAGTTGACAATTACTTGTAAACTTCTATGGGTTCAATGTCTTCTTAAACAAGTTGTCCCTTCTACTTCCTGGTGCAATAACATTGGCGCAACATATCTTTCCACTAATCCAATCATGCATAATCGGACCAAGTATATTGACATTGATTTTCGTTTTGTTCACCAACTGGTTTACTAAAGTCATCACTGCAGGACACATCTCTTCTCATGATCAGATTGTGAACATTATGGTCAAGAAGGGTCTCTCCTCTACTTGCTTCTCTCTCTTACACAACAAGTTGCATGTGGTTCCCTCTTTCAACTTGTCGGGGGTGTAAAG